GTTAACGTTTATATGGGTTTGATATTAAAAGAATGAGAAGGACGTGAACAAAAGATTCTTCATGTGCAAGTGGTGTTCTATTTTTCTTCACCCCTGGATATTTTCTTAATAAAGATTCTTGTTCATACCAAAATAAAAATAATTTTCTTCCAGCTGTAATATTTGACTAATCTAGAATATTTAAGCCCATAATTTCTGTAGAAAATACTTTTTCTAATTCACCAATTAATTTCATTGAAATTTTAAAAATTCCGTCACATCAATCAATTATCATGCATTAAAAAGAATTGCATTATCCGAAATTTTGAAAGGCCTAAAGAAAATATTACACAAATTATCACAGGAAATTAAATATAATGACAAAAACAGAAAACTAAACACACACTAGTGATGGCAAACGTTTTTCACAAAACTGAAACACTTTGAGAAGGAATTTTGATTTGTACTATTCTATAAAGGATTTTAATATTTCATTTATTTTTATATCTTATCAGTCAATTATTATTATTATTTTTTTTTATTTTTTTATCCAAATTAATTTTATAAATGTAACAAAACGGTAAAATTTGAAAATAAAAATAATTTTTTTGATAATAAAATACTTGAAAAGATTAAAACAATGATAAATTAGAAATCAAATTAATATTTATATCAAATATTGGATTCTTCATTTCTTTATATTAATTTTATATTTTATTATATCATGTATCACATTTCTTATTTTACTTTTGTTTTTATCTTTCTTGTATTTCAACTATTTCACATTCCTTTTTCAACATGACATGAAGTGAAAGTAGGGATGACAATCAAACCCCGTCCTCGTGGGACCGACCCGTTCCCGTCCTAAAATTGATGGGGAAAAATCGAGTTGACCGGGTTCGGGTTTTCCCGCTTTAAGAAATCGGGTTCGGGGCGGGGATGAGTAATGCAATCCTCACCCCGCCCCGTCCCCGTCCCGTCCCGCCCGACTTTATATTTAAACCTAAATTCTAAAATATTAACTCTTTGTCTGTTTGTCTTCTTTTCTTTTTTTAATGTTAATTATATTTAAATTTAAATCCTGATATATAACCCTCTGTCTTTTCATATTACCCTTAGTCTTTTCATATTATTACTCTTAGTCTTTTCACATTACCCTTTATCTTCTTATTACGTAGTATGTTCCTTTCCTTCACTTTACTTCCATTTATTATTAATTTCTTTGTCTTTTTTAATCTCTTCACAATTAGTCTTAGTTCAACTCACATTTGGCTTCTCTTATCTCTTTACTAGTTTGAGTTCTCTGGTCAACTTCTCCAGTATTTTCAACCAGTTTATCGAACGCATAAGATAATTTTTTGTTTATTTATCTTTTTCTAAATATGTACATCAATGTATCATTTTATTTCTAATTTGGTTTTATTAGGTTTTTGTTATATCATGTTTTCTCGGGTTTACTATTCTTATTTATCATATATCATATCTTATGTTAATTAAATAATTATATTTTTTTATCTTTTATGATCAATTTAAGTCTTATTTTAGAAGAAATAAACATAGGATTTTTTATCTTTAGGCAATCAATAATACATGTCTTGTTTATGGTGGTAGAGATTTTTTTTATATACAATGGAAAATAATGAAACAACACAAGCAAATATGCATGAATCATTGTTAAAAGAAAATTCTAACCTTGAAGGTCCTACTCCTACACCAAATGAAGTCCCACCAGTAACTAGAGATAATGAGCATGCTGAGACTATACCATTGGGATCAAATCGGCTTAAAAGTAAGATTTGACAACATTTTCAAAAGATTCAAGTTAATGGAGAGGACAAGGCTAAGTGCAATTATTGTAAGAAACTTTTGGGAGGAAAATAAAAAAATGGGACGAAACACCTATGACAACACAATGATAATTGTATTCAATTCAAGATTTCTACTAGAGGGAACAAATGGCAAATATTTCTTACCCCTAAAGTTATGCAAGGTAAACAAGAGTTGGGTACAAGAATTTATGATGCAGAACATGTAAGAAAAGAACTTGCACATGCAATTATATTATGCATGAATATCCACTTTCAATTGTAGATCATATTGGTTTCAAGAGATACTCATATGCTCTCCAACCAGTATTTCAAGTTCCTTCTAGAAACACTATTAAAAAGGAAATATTCAAAGTCTACAAGTCTGAGAAATCAATAATTTTGAAGTCATAGGATAACCTTGAAGGAAGAGTGGCTATAACATCAGACATGTGGACTTCAGGTAATAAACAAAGAGGATATAAGGCTGTCACTACTCATTATATTGATGATTCTTGGAACTTACAAAGTCACATTTTAAGGTAACAAATCACTTTCCTAGTCATATTTTATATTATTTTTATTTTATTTTCGTATGGTAAAATGATTGAATATTGATTAAATTTATGTGAATATTATTATTTTAGGTTCATTTATGTTTCAACTCCTCACACAAGTCATAGACTTTGCAATGCATTAGTTGAATGTTTGATGGATTGAAATATTGATACAAAATTATCCACTATCACCCTTGATAATTGTACTACAAATGATGCTATGGTTGAAAAAATTAAGGGTAAATTGCAAATGAACACTTTATTGAGAGATGGAGATTTACTTCACATGCGTTGTTGTGCTCATATATTAAATTTGATAGTCAAAGATGGGCTAGAGGTAGTGAAAGATGAGATTGAAAAAATTCGGGGTAGTGTAGCATATTGGTCTGCAACACCTAAGAGGAAAGAAAAGTTTGAAGAAACAGCAAAGCAATTGCGCATCTCTTGTACTAGGAGCTTGGTTTTAGATTGTCCAACAAGATGGAATTCAACATACAAAATGCTTGAAAATGCCATAATATATGAAGATGTGTTTAATCGATTGAAGCAACGAGATTCTCAGTATACTTGTTTGCCAACTAGTTTACAATGGCAGTTTGCAAAAGATGTTTGTGAAATGTTGAAATTGTTCAATTTTATAACAGAATTATTTTCTACTACTAAACATCCAACTGCTAATTTGTATTTTCCCAATATGTGTGAGATTAAATTGACATTGACTGAGTGGATTGCATCTCCAAATGAAGTGATTAAAAAAATGTCTGAGAACATGTTGTTCAAATTTGATAAGTATTGTAATGTGATTCATGCTATTATGGGAGTCACTACTGTTTTGGATCCTAGATACAAGATGGAGTTACTTGAATATTATTATGAAAAGTTGTATGATCATGAATACTTTTTGCAAGTTAGGATGATTCGTCAATTATGTTATGACTTGATTTCTGAGTATCAAACAAAAATGAATAAAGACACATGTGGCGAGTCTCCAACAAGGGATGATACTAATGTTGCTGGTGATGCATTAACTGAGTATGACAGGTATATTTTGAGAAAAAAAAGGGCAAGAAATACATATGTTAAAACAGAGTTAGACCATTATTTAGAAGAAGAGGTTTACCAAGAAAAACTGATTTTGATATTCTAATGTGGTGGAAGTTGAATGGAGTCAAATACCCAACAATTCAAGCAATTGCTAAAGATGTATTAGTTATCCCTATCTCCACTGTAGCTTCTGAATCTGCATTTAGTATTAGTGATCAAATATTAAGCCCCCATCGCAGTAGACTTCATTGGACTACTCTAGAGGCTTTGATGTGTGCTAGGAGTTGGTTATGGAGTGCTGAAAACAACTGTAATATTTTATATACCTTTTTAAATATATATTTAATGATTGTATTTTTATATTTTAACAAGTATTCTCTTTATATTTTATCTTTAGGTGGTGTGAATTCTCAACTAATTGATAACTATGCTATTTTACTCAATGAAATGGATTCTCGTGATGAAGGTATTATTTTATTTATTAAAAAATATTATTATTTATTTTTTAATATTTTATTTCTCTTTTCAATAATATATTTTATTTTAAATTATGTAGGTGAATTGATGGATAGTGACATTGTTGCTCATTTGGAGGATTATAATTAAATTATCTAATATTTGTTATTTTTCTTATATATATTGTTAGGCACTGTTATGCATTATTATGTAGTTTTCTTATATTATTTTCCATGAGAAATTTTGTTTACTTATTTATTAGTATTTTTAGATGTATTTCATAATTATTTTAAAAGGATCATTAGTTGAAACTTATTTTTATTATATATTTTTTACAAGGATTAACAACTTATAATAAGAAGAAAAAAAGAATGATCAAATATATTTTTTATGCATAAATATTTTAATATAAACGTAATAAATTAAAATATATACTCAATCAATAATAATATTATAAAAGTTATAATATTATATTTATTTGTTATAAAAAATAAAATATAAAAGATAATAATTTTAAATTATTTTATTATAATTTATATATAATTACTTTTAAAATAATACCATAGAATGATGACGCTGGACGATTAAAAGGGTCGGGGAGGCAAAATTATTTTATTATAATTATATATTCTAAGTGAAAGATATCAATTTTTTTTTTCATTGTTTTCTTCACCAATCAGTCGAAAGGTGGGGTTTGGAATGAAAGTTATTTGATTAATTTGTGATTGGTCTGCCATTATCCATGCATGGAACTTCCCAATCTGCTTTACTATGAGAAAGGGTCGATCTCATTCGTTACTAACTTACTTTATTGACTCCATCTTTGAAAGGGATATGGTGAGTTTGACGACTTCTCATTATAATAGATATATTTTTAGTCTCTATCTTCTTCTTCTTTTTTCTCTCTACGAGATTAATTCAAATGATAAAACATTTCAGGGATTAAAACTTAAAATAGATATATTACAAGAATTACAACAAAATATGAAGGACTTAAAAGAAAAATATGTTTCACCAGGATATTCTAAAATAATTTTTTACAAAGAAAAAACAAACAAATATATTATAGAAACCAAATATTTAAACAATTTTAAATATTGTATTTTCATTTTATTCTTTTATAAATATTTCATAATATTATCCGAACAGAACTTTCGTGATGGAGAAACATCGTCATGTCAACACCATTTTGAATAGAGTTTACGATAATCATTATCTGGATGTTGTGATATATCAATTATGGATTTATTTACTAATTTATTTTGTTATGGAGTTTATATTTCGAAACTGGACTTCACTTCCATTTTGGACTTTTACTTCTATGGGCCCACTTATTATGATGGGCCATGTTCTTCACTACAAAATACTTGAAATGATGGGCTTTTACATCATGTAGCCCATAATGAATTGTTGCAAACCACATTGGGTGTGCCATGCCAAAGTCATATTGTTCCATCAAATGTTACTTGTGACAACTTCAAAAAAGAAAACTAGGGATAGAAATTGATCAAAAATCGTGTGATCGCTTGAGATATTAGCTCTTCAAAAATCGATTTGGAAGAAATTATAAGATTTTAAAGCAACAACAAACTTTGATAATTAAAAAGTGATAAATCTTAAATTTATCTATTTCGTCTATTTCAAAATATAAGTCGGGTAAATCTCGTTATTCAAATCAATACAAGTATTTATTTTTATTATTTTTAATAAATTTATTAACTATTTTATTAATATTTTTATCATTTTAATTTGTTTAATTAAAAAAAATAAAAGAATAATTAATACAAAATCAAACTTTACGAGCTTTATATATTAAGAGATAACTTTTTCTATTGTGATATATTTAAAAAAAATATTGATTTAATAATCTAAAAGTTTTTTTTATGTAGATAAGTACCTCAAACTAAAGATCTTCAAAATCTCTCGACAAAATAAATAAAGACAATGAAACATTTAATCTTATTGATTACTTTTGACATAAAAAAAAAAAAACTCTAATCCCACTCCTTATCTTCCTTTCTAAGTTATTTATTATACATTTTTAAGCGGGAAATGCAAAAAATCTTCTATGTTAAGTTATTTCAATTACCAAACATAAAGAGTTATAAATTTTTTGTTTTGACATACATTTATTAAAACACTATACATGATTAAAAGAATATTTAGATTTGAACTTGGATAGACTTCAAACAAATATCTAGTAGTTAAGTAAAAACTTCTTTACAAATATCTTTTTATATAATTTTAATCATAAGAAAATATACGTTTATGCTGATTAAGATTAATCTCTTCCATATATCATTTTTTTGTTTTTAATTTTTGTAAACATACTCCATCCTTTTTAACCCAGATTCTATTATGAATTGTTTTTTTTTTCCTCTTCAAACCTATCTATTCTTAATCATTAATTAAGATTTCGAATTCAATCATCAACTTCGGAAATTTATGAAAGGTGTTTAACACTTTAATTATTTACTCAAACCAACTAATTTAATTTTAGATATTGATTTTGATTTTCATTAACATTATAATTAATTAGTGGAATGAATGAATAAATATGAAGATAAGAAGACATGAACAATTAACATCTTATTTAAGTTTGAAATTCAGACCAAAAGCCACCAATTAGGCTTCCATATTAATAAGGCATGAAAGTTTATCTAACCTCTCTTTGATTTGACATTTAGGCAAGTAATTTTCACACGTAACCCACCTACAAATTTGAAATTTATTATTGCTTTTTAACATCATCACTAACCATCAGAACCAAACCTTCATCATATTTTATTCAACTTGATTTGGTAACAAACACAAAAATAGAAGTTCCATAAAAAAATAATAATAAAAACAATGTTTAGCCAGAGTAGTGAAAGCCATGAAACATACAAGACATATTTATCTTAGGTTTTAAAATTTATTTTACCTTTTTCATAAATTATCTAATATCAATTAAATCACATGGAATTTTTGTTATGTAATTATAATCGATATTATAATATTATTATATGTACATATGCTTTCGGTTATAATGTTAACCAATATAAAATCTCTTTTTCAAATTATAAAAATTTCACTGCGTCAGTTTTTATAATGGTTCTTTGTAAATTCCAGGTAATAAATGTTATGTAAAAATATACTTTTGTATTAGTATGATTCTTTTTCAGTATTTTTTAACCTTCAAATTTGTAAACTTTTTTGTTCGTTTTATCTATTATTTTAAATTTTAAGCAATATTATATATATATATATATATATATATATATATATATATATATATATATATATATATATATATATTTAAAGAATTAGACAGAGTGAGTATCCAATAACAGGATATGACCAAACATGCAGTGAGTGGTTGGATTCATCCATTTGCGTGCCGCCGCTGACGCGTCACATTGTAGAAACAGTTATTGCGACCTACTTTTACTTGGAAACAGTTATGCTTGACACGTGTACGTTATGCAGCTCCTACATTAATTAGCCATGCAACCAACCACACATACACCTTAAATCATTCAATCCAACGTCCAGTCTCACGCCACGTATCACCGACAAATCACGATGCATCGCCAAACCACACATCATTGAAATGAGCCCACCCACCAAAATAAACTCCCATCAATTCCCATAAATTCTAACTGCACACAAAATTTGTCCTGTTGTTAAACGATTAGCTCATCTTCTCACCAAACTCTTTATATTACTGGAATAAAACATAAACAAGTTTTAATTAATTTAATATTATTTATATTACTATTTTAAAATAAAAAATATTTAACTAAATATAAATCTAGAAATGTAAATTTTTGTATGATGTTCATATTTTTATTGAAGACAAAATTCAGGATTTTTGTTGCTCATATTGATTATAATTTGCAAATTCTTTATAAGAAATGTTTGAACTTTATATCTGTATTGTTCAGAAATCCTATTCATCTATTTTTCACAGTAAAAGATATAGAGGACAAAATATGCATTCAAAATGTTAGTGTTAAATTGTTTTTCAATCAATTTCAAAGTTCCATTTTAATAATTATCGTTCATTTAATAAAATTTATCTAGATTATCAAAATAAAGTTTCAAATCTAAGAAGAGAACAGCATGAACAAGTTTTCTCTATGTGCAAGTTTTCTATCATCATAAATTCATCTGACATCCGCACATGTCACCAGTCAATCCACTCATCTATATAAACACCACACCACACCACATCACATCACATGTCTTCACCAGCCAAAATACAAAGCAACACCACACTACCAACACTTTTCACTTCTCTCCCAGTTTAGAGAAACATTGTTTTTGCGACTATGGCCAGCGTGAAGGTTGCATGCTTGGTTCTGATGTGCATGGCTGTGGTGAGTGCACCAATGATGGTGCAGGCCATTACATGCGACGATGTGTCAAAGGCCCTGATACCGTGCCTACATTACCTGATGAATGGTGGAGAGGCTTCAGAAGGGTGCTGTAGCGGAGTGAAGAACATTCTGGGTGCTGCCGGCACCACCGTCGACAAACAAACTGTGTGCAAATGTCTCAAGGACGCTGCTGGTAAGTATAAAATCAATGACCAGTATGCACAGGAACTCCCTGGCGCCTGCAAGGTCAATGTCCCTTACGCCATCAGCCGCTCCACCAACTGTGCAAAGTACGTTTAAACTCTCACTGCATCTTATAGTTTCTCAAATTTCATTACTTACTCTTTTGCTTAAATGGATTCTTAACTTTTTCTGTTGTCAGATAAGTAAGCAGTTTTTATTGTGTTGAGTCGGTTGATCCTTACAATAATCCCTTTAAATTAGCTGTTAGATCTATAGACATTTATTGAAGAATTTGATTAACCACCACATTAAATTTCTTAACTACATTTTTTCTCCACTAAAAACTACAAACATAAATTTTATTTAGATAAAATCCAGTTCCACCAAGAAAGACCAAATATTCGCTGGTATCTATACATATTTTTAATGTGTTGTTTTGACTTTCGTGGTAATTTTGTATTTTTTTAATAATTTTAATCTAATTAAAGAGAATGTATTTACTGATCTTGATTGAAGTGGCCAAATTTTCCCAACATTTAACCTTTACGTGTTTGTTCTTGTTATATTACTGCAGCATCAAGTTCTGAACAAGCGAGCAGCTTTGCCTATTTCTGCCGTGGGATACTGAGGCAGTAGTGTCATGATATCAGAATAAGAGAAAGCGAGTCTGATCGAAGGGCTCCACTTATGCGAGCCTGTTATTGTATCGGCTTCTGTTATCGAAGTTTTCGAAGTTATGTGCGATTTAATGCATCTTAGTTGATTGTTGCATGTAACAATCACGTATTTGATATAGTAATTCCATACTACTACTATATTGCATATATACCATTGAAGAAGAATGTTAGATCTTAAGTACAAGCTATGCTCGAGGCAAACAATAACACAAGAGTCACTCATAGGATAAAGTAATAATGATCAGTATTATAACGGGACCAAGTGTCAAAGAAAACGTAGAAAAAACAAGCTTCACCTAATTAGAAGCCAAAAAAGCTAGTTATAGTACAATTTGTTTTTAATGTTTGATAAAATAGTTTTCGCATAAAAATAAAGTACAATATGCAGGGAAAATCAAGGTGTTCGGTTGAAAAAATATTAAGAAGCAGATAAAAAAAAAAGATGAAAAAAATGAACCAATAACATAATGTTTCAAACAGTAAGCCATTAGAAGTGGCTCAAAAGCATTCCACCCTTACAAGGAAACATGACCATGTGTATAAAGGTGATATCATAAACCAAGAAGAAAAACCATAGCAAAAAAAATCAATGTACTAGCCTATGATATGATATGGGTGATCCACATGAACAATAAATATATAATCTACCAAAAAGTTTGTATAAAGCAGCCAGAACAACAGAGTTAATCACCCAAACCTTATGCAAGAGGTGAAAGCTTCATATTTGGACTTATGAGTGGACTAAAACAGATATGCACCATACTGGATTAGAGCTTATATAGTCTGAAAATTCAGAGAGTTTTTTATGGAACAAACCAACACAAACTTCTTGTTTCATGCAGAGTCAAATAAAATGCGGAAATAACAACTAATTAATAAAGAGTGGCGTCAGCACACCAACTTAATATATATAACATGGAACAAACCAACACAAACTTGACGAAAATATTATTTTATAAAACATATCAAGCTATTTTTAAATCGGATGAATTGAATTTAACTTACTGCATATTAATAAAATCAAAAAATAAAATCATATATAAAATGAAGATAGAAAATATGAGATTTGATGTGTTTGATCAATTATAAAGAATAAGAATTAATGAAACTCATTTTAAATAGAGTCCAATGAGAAAAACTTCCATCGAAATAGTAATTTGAGGAAGAGAAATGTATTTTTGTTGAGATGATACTTTATATTTATTTTTGGATTTCTGTACCCAACTGTAAATGTTAAATAAAACGAGACAAAAAAGTAAACTTACACTATATACTGGTAAAAGAAACAAATTTGAATTAGGCTTCCATCCTAAAATGTCGGTTTTTACGGTTGCGTGTATATAAAAGTTGTATATTAATAAATCTTATGATAGACTCCAACTTTAGGTAACTAAAAATTAATGGTGAGCATGATACCCACGCCCACGTTTCGCATTAATATTTTTAAGAACACTTTGAGTAAGATAAATTATTAAAATTATAATAAAGTTTATCAAATAAAAACAAAATCAATACAAGTTTATAACGTTTAATAAATTTGAGTCAATAATAAGGTGTTAAATTAACCAATAACTCGATATCATTATATATTGACAAAACAAATGTATTGAATAATTTTTGTTGGGCTTTTGGTAAGTGCAGTTTAGTGACTTTTCTTTCATATCCAATTCTTTCTTCTTAAAAAAAAAAGAAAAAGAAATATAGTAAAATGTGTGTAAAGAAGTGAAACCTTACCCTAATCCTAAGTAATTATCTAAAGCATTTATTATATAATATTACTAATGTTTCTCTTCTTTAATTAAGTCAACTACTCTTAACAAGTCATTCGATGACACCAACACTAATAAATCATAAAGTAATTCGAGGAAACCTATTCTTGAAGGCATGCATGTGCACATGGTCGATTCAAGGTGTAGGGGCCTTGTGCTAGAAAGTTCGATACTAACAAGTGAAAGAATCAAATATAATTAATTTTCTGAATTAGTTGTAATCACTCTAACTTATGGATAACTATAATATTGATAAAGAAATCTATTATTTTATTTTCCAAGAGACACATTTTCTAACTTATGCAGGTCAAATAAGAAATATTATAGGTAAAACAAATGAGGAGAGTCTATAATGTAATAATCAAAAAACGAAAATGTATTTTCCAACTAATAGTTTATTAAACAAATAGGGTATATATAATTCTGACCCAGTATGTTTATTTTGGCATTTTTACATTTTTTTATTTATTTCAAAACTGTTAAAAAAGATAAATAAGGAAAAAATGGTGCCAAACACAACATACCTAAGTTTTTAAATCATTTTCATGAACAAAGAAAGTGTGCAATAAAGTGGCCAACACTGCAACAACAAAGCAGAAGTAAAAAACTAGCATAACAAGCGGTCATGTTATGTAACACCCAACTCTTTAACCACACCCACCGATATAAATCCCCATCAATTTCCATAAATTCATCCATCTATATTTTTGTTATAAGATCACATATTATTTTTTATTACAAACAATTCATAGATTACTATATATATTATTGTTATTATTAACAAAGTTTTTCTTTCAAATATTTAAAATATTTGTTGTACTGAAAAGGATATCTAGATGAATCTTAGAACTCTTGTATTCTCCACGCATCTATATAAACAGCACAAAACCACAATACAAAACACCATACACACACTGTAGTGGAACTTTTCACCTTTGTCTCCGAACTAGTCCATTTGAGAAATATAACATTACTATGGCAACTATGGCTAGCGTGAAGGTTGCATGCATGGTTGTGATGTGCATGGCTGTGGTGGGTGCACCCGTGATGGTGCAAGGTGTTTCATGCAATGATGTGACAATGAACCTTGCACCGTGCCTACCTTACCTGATTAATGGTGAAGCTGCTTCAGATGCGTGCTGTGCAGGAGTTAGGAGCACTCTGGGTGCTGCTGGAACAACCTCTGACAAACAAACCGTGTGCAACTGTCTTAAGGATGCTGCTAATAACTTTGGCATCAACGATGGTTACGCTCAGGCACTCCCTGGCCTCTGCAAGGTCAATGTCCCTTACAAGATCAGCCGCTCCACCAACTGTGCAAAGTATGTTCTTCTTCTACTCTTCTTGTTGCTGCAAAAATTAAAATCAATGCATCATAAAACAATTTGTATGTATGTAATTTAAGAAAAACGCGTTACTAAAATAGAATCACAATATCTAACGAAAGAAAAACAATATTTATAGTTCTTAACGTTGTAGTTTTATTTAATTACTATTTCCTTTTCTGTTCGTGTTTTAGCAGAGTTAAAAATTATCGAATATGTTTAACGTGATGAGTTTGTTTTTGTAATGGTGCAGCATCAGGTTGTAGAGGATCGTTTAGCTTTTATAATTTGTGGCGGTGATGAGTTTAACAGTTATTATGAGAATAAGAGAAAGCGAGTGTGAGTGTTCTGTATGGCTCCTCTTTTGAAGCCTGTCATTGTATTTTAGTTTCTGTTTCATGTGACTCTTTGTTGGGTTTGATTCCATGTATCTTAGTTTATTGTTGCATGCAACAATCACGTATTTGATGTAATAATTCTCTTCTACTTTACACCTATTTGGACTGTGCTTTCTAATATATTTGGTCTGCAGGAACAAAGTTTTTCGTTATACTTTCATTTTTGGGTTGTTCCCACAAAATTGATTAAATCGTTCCTGTGAAAATGCATTTCCACAAATAATACTGGCTATTATGGATCTTTATATACAAATCAAACTAACCCATTTAAAAAATTAATTCAGATTTAGTTCACTTCAAACTTTTTGCTGAATCCAATTTAACCCAAACTAATTAAATATAATAGTAACTAGTTCCCATATTTATTTACAAATTTAATTAATAAAATTTTTAAATTTTAATATATATATATATATATATATATATATATATATATGTATATTCTATAAACACTAGTACAAAAAAGGGCTTTTACGTCACCCAATTGTCGTTGCATGTAAAAATATTCGACGTAAATAAAATGTGGTGACAATTTTGTAAATAAAAGACAAAACTTTTACGTCGCGCACCCCAGCAGCTTTTTACGTTGTGCCCCCAGCACGCGACGTAAAAAGCTTTCTTTTATGTCGCGCCACGCAGGTGCGACGTAAAAGAGTGTTTTTTACGTCGTGTGCTGGGATGCGCGACGTAAAAAGTCCCTTTTATTTCCGTCCAATCCCACTCCCTCGTCCCGCGTAACCAGGGTTTTTGAGAACGACGATAACAGCTATCTCTGCACACCATTTTCGATCAGTTTGACAGTGAAAAACATCAACATTGTGTGTCATTTGACGAACTTGATATTTCTCCCCGATTGGATTCGAGTTTGAAATCATTTTTCGTCTACACTCGAGGTTAGTGTTCTATGCCATTGTTATATGTATAAATTGAATCCGTGATTGTTTTTGGGGATCTCAATCACGTTATAGTATGAATGTCTCCACTGGATTGTTATTGGAATGTAATTATTTGTTTATTTGTTTGAGTGCATTCGGTTTACACACTCCATTATTGGTGGAACGTGCTTTGTTGTTTGTATATTAATTTCTTTTTACATATAATTTTTAAATCTCTAGGAGTGACGAAACTTTATAACATAATATGAATCGAAGTTGGATGAATGCACGTCATATTAGTGAAGAGTACGAAAAGGGAGTTGAGGAATTTTTGAAATTTGCTAGTGAAAATGGAAAAGCTATGAAAGGGACATATTATTGTCCATGTGTTCGTTGTTTGAATCAAATTCGTCATAAACTTGAGAATATACGTGATCACTTGTTTGTTTATGATATTATTAAGAGTTATACAATATGGACATGACATGGAGAAATATTAGACATCCCAACTGTGTCAACTACAGACAATTTTGATGAAGGGATGGATGATAATCTAGAGGATATGATACGTGATTTTGGTGAAGAAAATTTTATGAAAGTACATCTATATGATTCTTTGAAATCTGATTTTGCGCAACAATTGTACATAGGATGTAGTTTTACAAGATTATCAGCAACTTTAAAATTGTTTACTTTAAAAGCAAGAAATAGATGGACTGATAAAAGTTTCACCGAATTATTGGAATTGTAATAGATTTTTTAGTTTGTATGTTTGTATTATATTGTTTTATTATGTAGTTTGAATTATATAATACTATATTTTTAATTTACTAGCTAAAGAAAATTGAACCTCTGGACTGTCTGGTTGTAATATATATTTGCAGGTTTTAGTTATAAAACGAGAATCAACCCAATTTAAAAAAAAACAGCAAATTTATGTCGCATATTGGTATATGCGACGTAAATTTACGTCGCATTTACCATATGCGATGTAAATTTACTATTTTTTTTAATTTTCGAAAGTTTTTACGTCTGTTTAGTGGTATATGCAACACAAAATTACGTCGGTCTTGATAATCGACGTAAATTTACGTCGGACTAAAGGGTTCGACATAAATTTACGTCTCCGCTTTAACGTCCGTCTTAAATACTGACATAAAAAGCTCTAAATATCTGACGTAAAAGCTTCTTTTTACACTAGTGAAATCATTATATATGAAGTCTTGTGCTATAATTATATAATTTTTTAAAATTTTTTCTATTGTTTATAATGATATAAGTCCATAATATATATATATATATATATATATATATATATATATATATATATATATATATATACTGTTTATCTTTTTAAATGAAGAATTATCTGTGAATTTTTCAATAACGTTTTTTTTCATAAAACAATTTTTTATATTTATTTTAATTGAATTTGATTAATCCGAATAGAAGTAATCCGTTCTTAGTGGAGTTAGTTTTCTTTGAATTTTAAATTTTATTTTATTTAAACTAATTTAAATTAATTGATTCAATTTGTTTTTTTTTTTGGAATCCCATCCAAACTCAGTTTCAGCGTGCTGCACATAATTTTGAAGAAAATTAAAGAAACTAACATATCACAGAACAATTCCCAGTCTAATATATTTATTGCAAAATAGACATATTGTTGACGTATTTAGACATATTGCAAAAATATCTAAACTTCGTATATTTTAACAAAATATTATGCAAATAAATATAATAATGCAAAATTAATATTTTGTTTTCACACAGACATTTCCTTCTCATGGCAAAATCTAAATGCTTAACATTACAGCCCGATAAAAACTGAGCTGAATGGATAACAGCCCGGAATAATTTTCTTGGGCTAACAGGGGAGCCCATATAATTGATTGGGCCTGTACTGATGGATATACTGAATTATATATATATTAGTTTTATTAACAGTGCTATAACATTAATTTTCCACGTTTGTGATGTGTGAGGAAGAGGAAGGAGTTAGCTTAATGTCAATTTGACATATATAATGGGTTAACTTGGATACATTAGTTATTTCATATTTTTTAAATTATTTTTTTAACGATAATTAGAGTTTTAACTCTAGATTTTGCGTGATAAATGTTTCCATTTCAAGATTATGAAGATTACTAAAATTAAACTTTAATTTTAATTGAAAAATAGTAATTAAAGTTCTATAAAGCTATTACATGCTTCTGGTTAAAATATAATTTTCAAAACAAAATGCGTTTGAAAAATATACAATTAAAGTGGTTTTTTTTACTCTATTTCAAAACAGTTTTACATTTTTTGAGAAAATATCTATAACTTTGTTTTTAGTTTCTTTTATATATATATATATATATATATATATATATATATATATTTATTTATTTTTGAAAATAAATCTTCAAAATTAATTGTTAAAAATGTTTTTAAAGATAAAGAATTTAAAACTAAATCGAATATATCTAATTCTCTCTACAAATACTCAAACCCTTCTACTATACCTTACATTTCCTTTACATTTATTATCTTTTTAGGTGTCGTTTTATATTAATAATGGTCTCTCTTGATTTTAGAATTTTTTTATAAATTTTAATCAATAATAAGATATGTATTAAAAACTATTTTTTGGTTTCGTTAAGAACAGTGGTAAGTTGTTACTCTTTATTAACTTTTATTTTAAACATTTGTCATTTACTCTTATTTTAGATATAACTATTTTTCGTGCATAATGTTAATAATACTTTACTTGTTTATAAAAGAATTGCATTGTTAATGTAAATATTTCCTCACTTATTTAATGAGACTTATTTACAACTTTTCCTAATTTTTAATTTCATTTTTCTTTTCTTTTTTATTCAATTTCTTTTTCTCTTCCTCAATAATAACAGCTGAAATTCTTTAAATAATTAAAAATATATTAATCAAAGTAAATATATTTAAAAATTATTATACTGGTTCATACACGAGACTTAACAACGAAAGGAGAATATTTCTTAGACGCTCAAAAACTACACTCGTATTGTTATTTTTATACATATTTAGTAGTTTATATAGACTTTAATTACATATAAAATAAATTAAAATATAATAGTAAAGGATTTTATTAAATTTAAAATAAATTAATTATGGAGTTATGTGGTAAGAAAACAAAATAGATGAAAAAAGAAGAAGCTATGATCATTCTAAAAAGTGAGCTTATTTAAATAGTTTTAAAAGTATATAAATTAAGACCACATTTCGAGAAAGAAAATAAAACTTTATTCAGAAAGGAAGAACATGTGTCACAAATCAAAGTCATTCACATTGATTGTTGACTGACACGTGCTACAATAGCAGTTTTTAGTTTATATATTATTATATTGTATAATATATATATATATATATATATATATATATATATATATATATATATTATATTATATCATATATTTTACAAACAGATAATAACTTGTTTTTTTAATGTAGATTTTGTACAGAGACATCAGTTACATTTAGACATTTTGGAGACATACTTACATGAGTTATTATATATATATATATATATATATATATATATATATATATATATATATATATATATATATATTATAGAAATCTAATAAATTGAAACAATTTTGTAACATTTTATTTTTATTGAATACTTTAAAAGTTAAAAAATGATTATTTAAAAACACTTAGCTGATAAATTTTATTATTTAATATTTTTATGATTCAGAAGGAATGAGATAATATTTTGAAAAAAATTAAAAAATTGCTAATTACTCCTTCGGATATACTTGCAGTGTTAACTAATAAATACAAGTTTAAAAACATACAATACATGATGTAATTAGATAATAATGCAAAATAATTTTAGATTGTATTCTAATTAAATTCTTAGTAATTATTGTCTTGAATATAATAAACAATAAATATTCATTTAGTATATTAAAAGCATTATCATTAATAATTAAGAAAACCGTTATAAATTAATGACATGCTTGGAAATATACTAGGTTTCTACTCCATGGATCATAGTCACTAATTAGCACTAACAATCTCTACTTATGCTTGCTTAATTATAATAATTAAACGCATAATAACACGCATTTGTTCTGTGAATGGGTCATGTTTTTGTCTATTGTCTTCCTCACCCACTGAATGCCAAAAATGCCACTACATACACATACATAATATATGCATATATACATATATATATATATATATATATATATATATGTATATATACACATATATATATATAAATTTGGAAGATGCATGTCCATTCATTCACACTGTCCAAGAAGATGTTGATAAGCCATATCAATACGTAAGGGTCATTGAAGAGGTACCTCGTGAGGTTTTGGCAGAACATGCAATCACAAATTCTTTCAGTTCATGTGCAAATTCTAAGCTTAAACAAGACAAAAGCGGTACTTTATTTTTTTTTTTTTCTAATCCGTGTGCTTTCATTAGTTAGTCCTCGTTCTTGATTGCTCGCAACACTGCTTGCTTTACCACTTGTGCGTCAACACTGTCGTTCTTGTGACTCTGCAAAATAAGCTCTTGTCAAAGTTTGGATGAAAAATTTTAGACTATTGTTGTTGGTTGCATCATATTTTGTTTACTATATATATTATCCCTTTTGACATGATGTAACTATTTGCATTGTTGCCACATTATATATAGTCCATGCAACAACAAAAGAAAGGTAGAAACCAACCCAAATAAAGTTTTGTTTTTAACTTCACGTTTTTTATAGCAAAACTTAAATTATTGTCGTTGGTCTGAACAATGTTTTAATTTGAAGCTGGTATTTAATTTCCAAACGTGCTGCATATATCAAACTCGTGAAAATTTCTTGTATGCTCCTTCTCCTGGAAATTATTCCTATAGGAGCATATAATTGTCTGAAAAACTCTTCAATTTGAATGCAAAAGTAATATATATGTTATTTTCCTATTTTACTACAAAGTACGAGGTGTATGGCAAATAGGATAATAAATTTCTGTCTCTACGAATGACCCATTTGTATACAACATCAAACAATATTTGTTTTTCCTCAAAGCATGTGTGGATCCATTTAACTATCCAATTGATGGTATTTGGAGCGTCAGAACCATGAAAGAATTTCTCAACAAAACTTCACAATTTACTCGAGTTTTGTTTCTAATTTCTATGAATGTATATATATATATATATATATATATATATATATATATATATATATATATATATATATTTGGCTAGTAAAATCAGAAGCTCTTATATATGTTTCGGAACTGTATGTACCTATAATTAGAAAAGTTGTGTGAAGAGGTTATTTTCATACGTTTAAAATAATTTGAAAGAAAAATCTAATTAGTCGAATAATTAAAGAGAAGGTTATATCATATTTATATATTGTCTTACTTCTCTTCCCACAGCTTCTAGCTGGAAACTGTCTTCACAAGAAACCCTAGCATCAAGCAGATCAAGGCCAAGTTCTTCGAAGGCTTCGAGTACAGACACGAGCATGCCGGGACTATTCTTCTCTAAAAGCACATTAATGAGGAAACCCTTTTTTAGGGTTTTCACAATCACCTGCAAAAATATAAATTTTATAAGATTTATCAATATTGAACTGTGCTAAGGAAAAGTTTTATCACCCCTACCCAATATTTCTTTTCCAACTTAAGTGAATTAGTCCAATGTTTTCATCAGATCTTAATTAATTTTGACCCAGAAAATTATAAAAATCTACGAACAAATTAAATGCAACAACAAGATTGACAAGCACCATAGGTAGTTCATCAATTTGAGAGGTTGATGATGATTCTGTGATCCCCAGCTCTGAGTTCAGTCCCTCCACTTTTTGTTTCAACTCCTCTATATATTTTGAGGCATCTACAATGATCGAGGCTTTGTTCAGCTGCCAAAATTAACAAAGAAAATATTAATTAGGTCAAATATGTTAAAGCTTTGATTCAAGATGAATCAGAAGCACAAGCTTCATCTGTGATTAAAAAACATCAAAATATAGAAAGATGGATTGATGCATATATGAAGACAAGTTACAGCAGTGGAGTTTGTGACATCCCGAAGTTGTTGCAACGTGTGTTCCAGAGCTCTTCTTTTGTCCCTAGAAGCCATGCTTCTTCTGCTTCTTATCACTTTTGTCTTGTTGATATTTTGATTTTGATTTTGCTTTTCTCTTCCTTTGTTTTCTCTGTGCCCTTCCTTTTCCATCTGTCCCTTAGATAGGTTTCCCTCTTTTATAGAATTGGCCCAGCTATTAAAAAAATATGTGTAATATGTTGTTTGTTTGCATGACGAGTACCTAAATATTCCCCACACCAAATTATGCTTTTACCAATTTGACCTCGCTATTTTCAAATTTATTGCTATTATGTCATGATAATAACCATTAGTTTCCCTTCATAATCTCTTTCATGTACATTTCTGTTGTCCTACAATTGTTAAGGACTTTTTTTCATAGAATAAGAACAATACAAATATTTTATTTATTGAAACAGATTTATTAGATAACCTTATTTGTCAAACGGCTATACAAATACAAAATATTGATATAATTTAGGAACTAACAATTAATTAAAAAAATAAAAGTAAAATTACAATAATTTTAAAACATAAAATGATATATATAATCGAATATAAGTTTTTATGTTTTCCCCGTGACATGCTATGATATATATTATCATTTCTGTTTTTACTCGTAAACTTCTTATTTGGATTTTCTTTAATTGTTTCTGTTCTAGATCTTGGATATAATGATCTATAATAGTAAAATTCGATGTGCTGATCCCAAGAAAAAATGTGAGTGGTTGTCCTATTTCATCACTTACCCTTCCAGACAATGCGAAGAATTTTTATTTTTATTTTTCTATCTTCCTTACAAAGCTAGAACACACGTGATAAAACATCGTCCATGTACTTAAATTTACTGTATATAGCATCCTTTTCTACATTCATTTAACTTCGCAAAACGCGTTTTAGCTTTATAACTGCACATAAACTAATGATAGATAAATACAATCATGAACTTATTACATCCAATCAGCGAGATAAGTAAACATTAACCAGAAAAGTGTATATAATTCAATAATTAACATGAAAAAAAATATTCAAATGTCATATGAAAATAAGGTTAGTTTGAGTAAAAGTACTTTATGCATGGGATTTAATGTTAAGTTCAATCTTAAGATTCATTAATACAGAAAATAATAATAAAATAGAAAATCCTCTGAAAAATAAGAAATCATATCATGTGGTAAAGTACACAAATGAAGTGAACCCAATTGTTCATATCTGTTTCCTTTCTTAATTTTCATGATTATTTTACTTTTCTCACCTGAAATGTATACATAATAGTATTGTGTTTACGTGTAAGAGGAGTATATCAGAAACACACTTTAAATTGTTTTGGTACATCCTCTGAGATTGATTTGCTGAATGTTAAAAAGTGTGTTGATATAGTAGTAATCCTCCAATTTATGTTAACATGTGAAGGGTATTTGAGTGAAAACCTAGAAAGAGAGAGAGAGAGAGAGAGAGAGAGAGAGAGAGAGAGAGAGAGAGAGAGAGAGGGAGATGAATGGAGCCCCGTGGGTGAAGTGCTTGTAAGAATTGACAGCTAAACTAGCTTGTTTGACAGATCCTTGAATTTTGGATGGTAATAAGAATAGGAGTAGTAATTATAATGGAATCATCTTGAGCCTTTCAAGAACTCATTTATCAATCACACACACCATCACCACCTTCATCTAATCTTATCACACGTTTACATGCCTCCTTTCTGCCTCTCGTGACTCTTCTCTATTCCTCAAACCCTTTTTTGTATTCTCTCGTTATCAAATACTTTTGTAAACAAGTGTTCTTCAGAAGTCAACAGGTGAATCAGTGAAAACTTTAACTACATATACCTCTCCACACCATGTTAAGGACAGATAGAGTTATAACACGAGTTTTACTTAATCAGTCCGAACACAGTTAACCACAATAAGTATCGAGATATTCGAACCCATGATCGAGTATTTGGTCTACGTATTTTGACATTTATAATGCTTAATTATTTTCAGGATCAATTAGATCCACGACTCATATCACATGCAAATTTATTCGATTAGAATTTAATTAATAAAATCAGTTCAATTGGACTCTAAATTAAATTGAACTAATCTATTTAGATCGAGGTAAAATTTTAATGAAATGGAGTTGTCTTAATTTTATTTTAGTTAAATAGATGTAAATGAATGAATGAGATAGTCGTGGTTTAACTTTATCAGATTTCTTGACATTAATCGTTAGTCATTTTTATTTAATTAAGATCGTGTTTTTACCAATCTATAAAACAAATCAAATTTTATTCCTTTGAGTAAAAAAATTTAGGTATCTTGATTTCATCATTAATCTTTTATTATAACAATGATAATTGTTTTAAGAAAATAATAATAATAATAATAATAATAATAATCAATCATATATGTATTTATTTATTTAGTTTCTATTACAGCACATTAATTGTTTTACTTATCCTGGACATAAACATATTGATTTATTTAGTTTCTCAATTACAACACAAACATTATAAAGGAGAAGAAAAAATTCCAATAAAAAAATTATCATATATGTATTTATTTAGTATTAAAACTAAAATATATTTGTGAGTTTCTTATTTTTATATTTATTTTTCTTTTATAATAAATGAAATCATATAAATAAATTCGTTTAACCATACCTCTTACCGCACCATCATCTTGTGTCTTTGGGTGATTAATATTCACCTAGCCCACCATGTCACTATAGTGCACCTTTGTCTTAAGTTTAAGCTTATTTTTTATTGTTGAAATTTTGAAAACTAAAGTTTCATCACCAAACAAAAAAAATTTCATATTGTCTAAGCTAAGTTAATAACATAGAAACAAACAATTATAGCCAAGTGAGATAATTAGAATAATATAATTTCCGTTTTACTTGCTTCTTGAATCCCACATTTTTAATGAATATAGAAGCACATAAGTTTGGATAATTGATTGATAATTATGAAGCACACAAAATCCCAATGCAGTGGTTAGAAACGATATCTTTATGTTTATATAATGAGACAATTGAACTAACATTAAGGCAAAATTCGAAATGATGTAATTAAGATACTAGTATCAATTTTTTTATTAAGTGGATCAGTTTTATTTTGAGGTGCTTTATTTATGCCACAATATTATTACCGTTCTATCTCCACTTAGCGACTGAAAACTGTTTAGTCGCTAAATAGCTACCAAATATTCAATCTCTATTCATTTGTATCTTAATTAGTGTTAAACCAATATAGCGACGGAAAAGTACGCTAGCTAATTTGGCAGCAAAAGCAGAAAATAATAGCAACAGACTAGTTAGTCACTAAATATATGTAAGATATCATTTTACCAATTAGTAGCAAATATTGAAAAATAATAGTGACGGATTTAAGTTAGTCGCTGAAGATAATTTATTTTAAATTATATTTACTCTTTGGTCTCTGCTACAATGGCTACTGCTGTCCACTAATGTAATTTATATGTTAAGGACACAAATATCAACAATATTTGATTTATTGATTATTTAAAATAAACAACATTTAATAATATTATAAATAATCATAAAATTAGTCATACATCACACTGTACCAAATTTAATAATATTACAAATAATCATAAAATTAATACATTACAACTGAATTTTATATTGTTTATTTATAAAAAAATAGTAAAAAACTACAAAAATAGATATTGAATATATTTATATTTAAATATATGTTTTGACCGATTAAATTAGTTGCTAGTTTTTTTACATATTTAGTGATTAGAAAGTTACTAATTCAACTTATAATTCCATCACAAATTTTGTGGTTAAAATAATAGTTCCACTACCAATCGTGAAAGGGAAAGTTTGGTAGTGAATACATCAGTTATTTCAATAACTAAATAAAATAATCACACTGAAAATTAACTTTGCCACGATTTTGGTTCTGATTGCAAATAAAATGGTTCAATGGTTACTTCAATCAGACTTACTATGGAGCTAATTTGGTTGCTATGGAAAATTTTTCTTGCAGTTCCTTTATCTTCTTTTTAAGTGTCATTTTTATTATTTTTTCAATATTTCTCATTAATAAAATTTAAAATTATATTAATTATATTCTTAACTTTAGAACTATATTTATTGTAAAAATAATCTAACAATTTATTAGGAGTTAAAATGAAAAAAATACAATTAAAAATATTACAAATTTATTAAAAAAAATAATATTTATCTTAATTTATACAAAAAATCTTAAATTAAAAATATTTAAATAAATAAATAAAATATATCCTAATGTGAAACTTGAGTCTTAAAAAAAACCTCCTTAATCTTTATCAATTGAAAACATTTCTTGGTGAATAATTACTTATAAAGCCTTAAAAAATAAGAAATGGAAGATATGAAGTCATATGATATTTGTCCTACATCAAATATTTATTATTTGACTTTTTCTTCTTCTAAAATATATCCAACCAACTCAAACTTAAATTTAATTTCATTTTTTTAGATTTTACATCAAAATTACAAGCATAAAGTATGTTTTAATTTAATTTTTTTTTATTATATTTTTTCTTAACTACGAAAAGTTATCTCTCATTTTTAATATTAATAAAATTTATGGTTCGTATTGTTAATAATAAAAATATATTTTATTACACTATATTCTCTCTTCATATAAATTATACAACGCTATTTAATATTGATAATATGTTGCATCATATATTAATTTTTATAATTTAGTTTTAATTATAAAACAGCACATGTTTATTTATGAAAATGTTAAAATAAACATGAAATCAGACCAAGTGTATTGGTAGTTAATATAAATAATTAGATAGTATACAATTTAGAACTTTATTTTCCCCCTTCTATTCCTTTTCTTTATTTCTACTTTAGACAAAAACAAAAAGAAAAGAACCTTGTAGTCTATACTTAAGTACAGAATCTACAAACAAGGAATAAGAATACAGAAATAATATTCCTTTCATTACATGCGTATTTACTTTCTCCTATATATACACATTCGAAGGAACATTTTTAATGCAATGGATATCTGTTGGTAACCATTTCCTGGT